TTAAAACCACCAGTAGTTTTAAGTGCCTGTGTGAAGGACTGCACAAAGATGCATTTTTGCCCATGTACATGTAACACATTATTATTCCTGTGGTGGCTACCAATAACCATCTCTGCATATGGAGAAAACTCCTAACACTTGGGCTTAAATTCCCCAGAGTAACTGTTCATGATCACAAATTTGGCTAAAGGATTTTTTTCATTACCCTCAAACATTTCCTTTCACCTCCAACCTCTAGGCAGAGCCATCGCTTTCCCTTTAGAGCTGGGAACATAAAGCCATGGGGCCATCGGGGCTGGCTGTGCCTGACCCCGAGGGCCCTTCTGTCAATCACTGCCTCCCCATCCCTTGCTCTCTTTCACACCAGGCAGCTGTACCCATCGCTGTCAACCAGGTAACAACCAGCAAACAATAGGGGCCTGAATGCCTGGTCTAGACACTCTTTTAGCCACTTATTTGCTGCTCTTGGCAGCTGTTGAAGCATAAATAAGCAGTTTGTAATCAGAAAGCTGACATCATTGCAGCTCAGCTGAGAGGGGGAATTGTTGCTGTGCACTGAGCTCCTTTCCTCCCTTTCCACCCTTCCCAGCCCAGCCCCCTCCCTCCTTCATTTTGTGACAACAGATTCTGGGGTGGGGATGCAGATTTCTGCCGGGCTAAGCTGGCTTTTCTTTTTATTTCTAGACTACAATGAAGTAGGTTGAAGCAAATGGCATGCATGAAGCAATGTACTTTGCAACTACCAATACTGAAAAGAAAAAATACCACAATAAAAACATGAAAGACCTCACCTGCAAATAAATGGTGGAGTTCTGTCCTACACATTCAGAAAGCATGTCAAGCCTCACAAATATTTTGAATTTGAAGGGTACTATTTCAATAGATTGACCATGAAGTGGGCAGATGGAAAGAAAGTGTTTTCCTGTCCTGAGTGGTATTTTTACCCTTTAGTTTTCTTTTACACCCTCTGGAAGGGGAGAGGAGGTAAAAACAGTCTTACCAGAGCTGAGCAAACACTTACTAACATACTCTATTTTGTGCCAGCATGCCTCTGTTTCTGCTTTCAAAATGCCCGGCTATGCATCTCCCATCTCCGCAAACATTTGTTGTTAAAGTACATTTCATACACTTTTAACACTTCTCTTTTTTTCTACTTTAGGGCTCAATTGTAAACAAGTTCACTAGGCAAATTTGACACAATATTTGAAACTCAAGCTGGGTTCCTCGGGCAGGATTGGTGGGGTGAGACACGTGGCAGCGCTGCTGCTCCCTGACTGGGGGAAAACGACAGCATACCCACTGCAAATATTTGCACATGCAAATTTAGAATTCGTTTTCCACAAACACTCACACGTATGACTTTCAAATTAGCTTTCTTCAAGCATTCATGCTGCTAAGAAACTCTAGTTCAAATATTCATAGAAAGTGAACATAAAGGGGCCACAGGTTTAGGTGATTTCTTCTTTTCTTTAAAGAAAACAGACACCAAGTGAATATTCATGTCAAAGTCTTTGCAATGTTTGTCCGGTTCTGTTGTTTTCTGGCTATCCTCCTTTAACGCTGAGAACCAATACATGTTCATGTGGTACCAAAAACCATGGCAAATTATTCTGCCTCAAATGTATAGTTAAAGTATAAACTTTATAATCTGCAGCGCATCTTCTGTTCTTTATTGATGGTAAAGTACTGTCTGTAACCTTTATGGTATATAATCCCAAATGTTCTCCCCACATTTCATTCGGTCCGTTCTGGTGATGACTGTGGCAACAATGGGAAAGAGGCAAAGAGATTTTGAGGGGCTTTCCCCCTGGTTGTTTATTTATTTTTCTGTGTGCACTTTATGCATGCCATGAGTAAGGAAGTTGAGCTTTCTTATTCTTGTGGAGCAGAGTGCATCTTCCACCAGTGATGTGTCAGTCTGATCTGACTGTCTGTTGGTACATGGAGTTAGGGTGAATGCCAGTGTCTATGGGGTTCACTAGCTATCTGAAATATCTTCAGGTAGCTCAGTCTGTCTCTGGTTTGAACAGGAAAGAAGGCCATTTCAACAAAAATATTGACTTTGTATCTCCCAAAGGCTTTCTAGTATTAGTTTGCTCTAAGTAGCTCATGATTTAGAGTACAAAGGCATTTCCAGAATGCATGTTTAACAAAATGACATAGCAGATAATTGAAATTTATTTGCAATTTTCAAACTACAATAAACACAATTCTCCCTTTCTTTCATTAATAATCGCACGGCTAATGCATAACAATCCCTCTGCAGCTTTTACAAGCAAACTTGAGCTGCTGTGTTGTAATAGCTGGAAAAGTTAATGTAGCTTGAACAAGGTTCCTAATTGTCCCTGTCTCTGTCATATTTGTCTACTTGAATGGTCCTAAATACCACAGCGATTAATTACTACAGAGCAGGTATTACAAGATGTTATCATCCTTCCCCAACTGTCTGGGTGAATGGAGAGAGGCAGTAGATTGTTGCAGTGTTTCATCTTTGCACTTCCTGTAAGGCACTTTAACCAGAAGATTTAATGTGTCAAAGTTAACTGCGTTCTCGCGCAGATATTCACATTCTAATTAAAGATTAAGAACGTAGTACATTACACTGTGATTTGTCATACATGGCTTGTTAAATAGGAAACCTACCGGGATTCCCTAACATTTTATAAACATTATTCAGGGCTTTTAATGTGGGCAAAGGAAAAGATTATTCAGCTGCTTTGCCGAGTAGGAGGCAGGTCATTTCTCCCCCACCTCCCCCATCCTGCCCAAGCTCCCCCCTTTCCAAATAAATAAATAAGAAAACTCAGATGGTTTTCAAACTGAAATTCTGTTGAGATCTCTTTAAACTATTTATCTTCCCAGCATGCATGTGTGCACATGGAGATATAGATATATATTATATATGTCTTAATTATTTTTTGGCATTTTTCAACTTTTGCTGTCAGCTATGTAAACTGAGGTAGGAAGTCTTTGTTTGAATTACAGTGGCAAAGGAAGGAAGAAAGATGAAATAGTTTTTCAATATGTAGAATGTGCGTTCAGATGATTCTAGTAATGCTGAGCGGCTTACTACTTCCAGTATTAGTAGCAGAGGACTGGTTCACATTCTTTGATTGCCTGAGGAATAAATTAATGAGGTTACTAGAGACATTGAACATTTGCATATTCACGGATGCTTATTAGGTATAAAGTGAATGCCAGGTGCATTGAATTTTGGGAATACTAGCTTTGTATTTGGTCTTCTGTTTTTAAAGCAATCCCATCTTTCTTCTTTCCTAAGGTGGGAAGTTCTGCAAGAAAAAAAAAAAAGAAAGAAAAAGCAGCATTTATAAAAATAATAACACCCCAAAAAAATTAAATTAATTCAATACAGTTGAAGCTTCACTATAAGATATGCATCAGTATAAACATGATACAGCATGAGGCTAGGGACTATCTGAATATATTGTTTGGAACAACAGTTAGGATGACTACAAATATAAAAACAGTTGTTCCAAGACATAAGGGAAACAAATGTTATATTTTTCACTGTGGTCTTTATGGATTTCTAGCTTTAAATAGCAATAGAAGAACTCATTATGAAGTTACCTTCCATAATGCCCAACACTTAATTTTAAAACAGCAATATTCTCATGTATTTTGTTAAAGCAAGTCTCAAACTCAGCCTGCAAAGCACAGGAGATAGAATTACAAAATTTGCTCGACTGTTTCTCCAAGGAGTATCTGCACATGGCTGCATTGTTATCAGTGACTTCCGTCATTGCTGTGTGAAAGCACATTGTGTGAATGATTTGCACTGTATCTCCTTATTGCTGCAAGTTTTTATCTATAGTGTTTATTTGGGATCTTGCGTTTTTGCATTCTGAAAGATTTTGTGGTGTTGGCTTTCTGGGGGTTTTTTCTTTCCCGTTCTTTGGCTGTCCATATGCTATAGACGTATAGAGCACGGTATTAGCACTGCTTGTTTCAGCACAGAAATATCTGTCAATTGAAAATGTGTATTGTTTGTGCTGCTTTCTGCTTGTCTTTTACAGTCTGAGAACCAAGTGTGTACATGTGCACAAACTAGAGGCTTACATGCCCTGCACACAGATAAATATAAACACATGTGCCCACACAGATGTGCACTTACAAAATTATTGGTATCGCCTAGTTCCAAGTAGCTGGTGTAGCAAAATCAAGCCGTGATAAGTGTTTTCTATGGATAATAATACGTATCTACAAACAGGCTCCCTTCTGCCCCCTTGTTTCACAGAATACTGTGCTCAACTTCCCTTTCCTGGATGTTGCACTGTGTTGATCACTGCCCTGCCTCTGCAAATCCTATTTGAAAATCTCATTTGCAGCATAACTGACAACAAAGGCATTACATGGTGTATGCCCTGCATATTCAACAGACTATTCCTTGCCTTTGTAAGTTATTTCTAACTTCTAATGAAAATACTGTGTGATCAGTTGATGATCTTTTTTATTTATTAATAGTCTGTAAAATTAACTGTGTCTAATCAAAGAATGTATCCTTTCTTAAAAGTGTAAGGTGGAATGCATTAGATCAGTGGCACAAAAAACATATTTTTTACTGCAATAGGCCTTTCATTGGGTACTCTAGGAAACAGGACTTAAACAAAACACTAAATTGAAGAGAATTTTGAGGTGCAATCACACCCAGCCAGCACAAGACACAGAAATTCTCTTTAGATATACATTTTCTCTGCATTTGTTTCCAAACAGTAATTCTGCTCCGTGTTTAAAAAAAAATAAGAAAAATTATTTGATATTTCAGTCTCTCAGGGCAGCTTCTGAATAATTACATGTAAAATGATCTAATATATATTTATGGAAAATAGCATTGCAGAGCACAAACGTGTATTTTTTTCAGGAAGGTCATTTTTTAAAACATCCATTGTAGCTGCTTCACTAACGTCCAGGGGTTTTTGCCATCCACACGGCACAGATTTTTTTGATTATGTAGATTTTTTTTTTCCCCCTCTATTGCAGTTTCATATGCAAAGCATGCATCAGCCACATCCATGCTATCTCCTAAAGCAGTCATTCTGAAACCCAATCTGGGGATAGTGCAGATTAAATAAAATTTCATTTTGATTTGGCCTCCTGCTGAGAATGGGACTGCTTTGTTTCAGCCGACAGAACCAGCAAGCCAGAAAGGTATGTCCTGTTTTGCATGGCTGATAGTGTGACTTGAGGATCACAATCAGGCCGTTCATGCTCTCAGGGCTCGGCATCTCATCCACATCCTGTACCATCTTTCTCTTTTCCTTGCCATTTGCTTTCCTTCTGTGCCGCCTGCCGTCTACCTGCAGGGCAAAGCTATGGCAGACCCTCACACTATTGTTTACTTTGGCATATGTTTAATAGCTGCATGGCTGTTTCAGGGCAGGGTTTCTCTATTTTTTTTCCCCTTCTCCCCCTGGCCCTTCCCCCTTCGCCTTTGTTTTTTCCCTTCCCAGTCCACATTCACTTTCCTTAATTTCTAGGTGTTGAATACACAAATACTGACTTAATGGAAAATTATGTGAGTATCGCTTGCAATGCTTCAGAGATTTTGCTAGGAGATCTGTAATGCAGAATTTTCTTGTGAATCTGAGGAAACATTAAACAGCTTTGAAGGACTTCAGTTTTCATAGCCCTTTAGAGCTGTTTAAGCAGAAAAGCAGTCACATGTTACAGTTAGAAGAGAAAAAAAATAAATAAACACACTTTTAGGAAGGGGTCTAGCTGCTTTGACATCTTCACATGCTTTGTAGTTACAGCTGCAGTGTTTGGCATGGGGAATATCAGTAAATATTTCTTTCTCTAAATATTAGTATCGATCTTAAAGCCAGTTTGCATTACAGGAGAGGGTGTACAGCATTCTCCTTACTGCTACTGTCCCATGTTTTGAAGGAGGTGTTGACAGTGGGGAATGACCTCACTTTTAGCCTCTGGAACATCTTTTGTACAGGGCAGCAGGACCTCTGAAAGACTCCTTACGATGCAAACTTACTCCTTAAAAGTGTATTTATCTGATAAAGCTGTGATATCCCTTGTCTGTGAATATTCTTTTAGGGAAAAAGAGCTTTTATATGAAATAAAGTTAGCATAAAATTTATCTCAGACAAAGAGCAAATTTTAATTTTGTTTGCCGCGTGTTTTAATATGGACAATGTCCTGTTTCCCCAGGAAGGTGGACTACAATTATAACTCCAAAGAAAAATTCAATTCTTAAAACAAAACAAAACACACAATATCACATGTTATAGAGCACTGATGTCATATGGAAATGTATATTTTCATGGTGATTTATAAACACAAAATTATTATCATTGTGTGCAACATGCCTTTGTGGTAGGTGATATTAGTAACAGCAGGTTATTCAGCAAAGTCTGATGGAATGTAGGTGGTCAATTATAACACTCTGCTCGATTTAGCAAGTTCTGTTCCCAGCTTTTATATATTACTTCAACTCCACAACTTTCAACAGTTTCTGACTCTCTGAGATGGCCAGGGGTGAAGGTCCTTGGCATAACCATGTAGATCTTTGCCTAGCAGAGTTTTGTGGCCTGAAAATTCACTTTCTCTCCATCTTCCTTAATTAAAAAAAAAAAAAAGTTGTTTGGGGAGCGAAGGCTCATCCCACCAAAGTTTGGAGAAAAAGAGAGGTAAAAATAAGATGACTCATTGCCCTCCCTATAAAGGAAGGTAGGCCAAATTTTAGTTTCACCTTGGTAAACTCCAGCAGGATTTCCTGCTCATGGCAGGATCTAGTCTTGCATTTCTGTTACTCAAAGATATTTACAAAGTAAAATGTAGTTAAGGAAAATTTTAAAGAAGCTATCTGTAGTGATGTCACATTTTCTTTAAGAAATTTGAGGCAGTAAGAAAATTATAAAGAGGCTAAATTTATAAGAAACAAGAACTGCAGCTTTTTAAAAGGATACAGTGGGGAAAATTATCAGTTCTATGGGGTTTTGCTCAGTATCTCTAATCCTCCTGCTTCACCCGTCACGTATCATTGAGATGTTGTCCAAGTTACCGACTCTGCATTTTAAACAGAGTTTATAAAATTGAGTTCCAATTTTACATTTACCATCATTTCACTTTAACAATTAAACACCTGTTTTAAGAGAAACAAAACTGAGTATTTTGTGACAGTATATTTTGTTTACGTCTGAACTCAATCTTGGCAAGTTTTTTGTTGCATAAAGAGTATTTTATATTAAGTTGATAATTGCATTGAAAAAATAGATTAAATAAATGGTGACACAAATATCACTTGGAAATACACCATATTTTTAATATGAAATATTCAAGGAAATTAACAGAAGTTTTGTACCTTTATTTGCAGGAATGAACTATCTTTTAACAGAATGATGTTCATTATGGTAAAGTAAAATAATCTTGGCTCCAGAATGTGCTAACTGTTCTGGATACTTTTTTATTAATTACACAACTGTTGTATGTAACCAGGAATTACTACAAACTTTACTCTGGTGCTCCTAGGAGATCAGAGTTCCTTTTTTAGATAGGTTTATTAGAGCTGTATCTTAGAGTCATATTCTGGATAAGTAAAAGAAGTGAGTGAGTTTTGGAAGTCAGTTTTGCATTTGTCACTTCCACAGAAAGAAAACTATAAAAATATTAGCCCAAAGTCCAGAAACAAAGACTTCATTCTTTGATAGACTTATAAGGCTTTCCTCAGTGGACTTCTCAGTGTTCCTCCTTATTTATATTTGTGTATTTAAGAAATTAATCAGATCCAAAATCCCAACTCAGATACTAACTGAAAAACAAAAAAAAAAAATAACAAACCAAAACCAAAAAACCAACCAAACAAAAACACACAAAAAACCCCCCTAGGATACTTGGCAACGTAGCATATTTACTTACGTGTTTATGTTTTAATGCAAAGGATTTATTAATTCTCTATTCTTTCACTTTTTCTCTCACTTTTTTTACTTTACCTGAATGAGGTGGTGTGATTGAGATAAGTCATATCCATGCCCAGAATCCTATGGAGAAAACAGATCATCTCAAATGGAGAATATATAGCAAATTGGAAACTAGATAAACACACTCAGGAGACAAGTATATATGTATACCTGCATGTAAATTAGTCACATGATGCTACTATATATATGTATGCACGTATAAGTGTGTATGTACAGATCCAGAGAGAGAGGTGTCCCTGTGGCCCACCAACATCACAAGAGCAGATGCTGCTACTGTGACCATATAGAAGAAAAAACCTGCATGATCAGTGCATTTCCTGATCTGTAACTATCTGAATTTCTCAGCAGCTACACAGCTGATTGTCTCCTGGAACAAATTCATGTTCCTCTGAAGTTAAAATCTGCTTAAAAACTTGCTGAGTTCAAAAGGATCCCAAATATGAAGATTTGGCTGCAGGATCAGGGCCTAAAGATTTGGCAGTATCCCTTTGGGCAAGCCAGGACAAACTAGCTAACAAACTTATGGAAAAAGGTTTCAGAAATCTGTCATAACACTGGACTTGGAACCTACCATCAGAATTAATGGACGACTCATTCTCATTCAACTCAAACTTCTCATGCTGATGTTCTTGCTTTATACACCTGATTTGACCAACACCAATAAAAAAGGTCTAAAAAACTGGTAGAAGATACTATAAAATTAAGTATCAAAGGGCAATTGACTAGCAGCAGATACTATAAAGTTATATATCAAAGAAAAGCAGTAACATCCTGTCAGCAAGTATGACCATAGGAACCCATTGTGTTCACAGCCTTAAAGGGGTGAGGAGTTTGGTTACTTTGGTTTGGGATATTTTTACCCAATCTCCTTAGAAATAAAAAAGCAAAAAATCAAAGTTAGATTTTTATTTAAGAGAAAAGTTAATCATAGGCTTACTGTTCAAGTTCACTGAAGCAACAATATGCTATAAAAATCAATACCATCACTTAACCCTTCATTTGATAATGTTTTAGGATTTCAGAAAGTTGCCTTTCTTGTTCACAAAAAATACCAAAGCAGGGACTTTCTCAGCTTTAAGGAGATATTCTCTGCTATAAGAAGGTATTCTTCCTATAATTATTGTTTTAAATAAAAATTTAATAAAACCATCTAAGTAGTTGATCAAATGTCTGAATGTAAACAGAAAATGAGCTTTGGACCAAAGTTGAAAAAGCAGAGACAACAAGCTAGCATTAACTTTGTTTAGGAGTAGAGGCAAAACCAAAGAGCTCGGCCCAGCAGCTACTAGGAAATCTAATATTTCCTGAGTAGGGAAAGAAGGCACTTTGGAAACTGTAGGGAAAAAAAATGAACAGAAAAATCATATTATTTGTATCACAGAATATTCTGAGTTAGAAGGGAGCCACAAGGATCATAAAGTCCAACCCTTAAATGAATGGCCCATAACAGGGATTGAACCCACAAGGTTGGCATCATTAGCATCAGGCTCTAATCAACTGAGCTAATCTCAGGGTCTCTCTAATCATCCAGTGGGATTTCTGCCATAGGGTTGACTTTGTCAGAAAAAAGCTACACCCAGGAAAACTGCTTCTGAGAAATACAGTTTGACAGATCCTCAAAAAACAGAAGTTTGAAGTACTGGTAATGCACATCTTTAAAGATTTTCTAAAAAAAAAAAAGCATGTTGGCTTCCCACATAACAGGGAATGTAACTGTGTCAAGATCTTATTGATTATATGAAAAAAACCCAGGCAATGTGTATTAGTTAACTGTTTATCAGTCTTTTCTTATCAAAGGTTGAAAAAGTATTTTTGTCTCTGAAATAAGGGATAGAGAGAAGAAATTACTAGTGAACGTCTAATGAATCTTATATAACACAGAAATTGACTACAGATTAATAAAAGCATCCTCTCTCTCATTAAGTGTTCTTTACCCTATGGGGGTGGAGAAGGTTAGGTTATAGCAGCATTATGTCCTCACAATAAAAACACATTTAATGTCCTAGTGTCTACTGCAATTGGTTATTCATTGCATACAATTTTCTTTATTTTTGAAACCCTTTTCCTCTACCAGCTGTCTGACAAAGGCAAGAATGAAACATTCTGAAAATAAATTTTGGAATAATTTACATTCAATAGGAAAATTCCACTAGTAAAATAGTGTGCATTAAATTTTTCCAGTGATGGATGAATCTCAGAAGATTCAGAGAAGTGTTT